TTTATATCCAAAGACAGACAATGAGGTCAGTGATGATTTATCATTGATTTTATATCCAAAGGCTTCATATGTGAAAGCTCCGATCAAGCAAAAATTCTTGATCCTTTGTCTCACAAAGAAGTAAGAAACTACTTCATAAAATTCAATTAAGGTGTCAAGAACTGCTTCATACCTAAAACATACAGCCCTTAAGAAGGGTAAAAGTATAAGTACTCAAGAACTTGATCAGCGGTTTGTTCATGTTAGTGAATAGAAAATTATAGCTCCATGCTCTATAGGAAGTTAACTTATTATCAGCAGGCAAATTTGTGGGCAAGAGCTTGTATCTTAGCCAAAAAGCTAGTAATTGTTGCCTGGAAATTTGCTTGTTGGAAATGATTTTATGGGTTTAAAGCTTTCCACCCTTGAAGAATTAACAATGATCTTCTGTTGAAGTTCAAGTGAGAGATCTATTGGCTAACTTAAAGGTTGGTTTTTAAGAATTTATATTAATACCGACTGAATTATGACTCGTTAAATCTAACGATTGAATTGTGGTTGATCATCTCATCACCAACTATGCTACCATTTTTTCTACTAGTAATAATATATCGGATAAAAAAAATGTCAAAATTTTGTACCCAAATAAATAAATAAAAAATAAGAGCATTAGTCAAGCAAATTTTACGCTCCTATTATCGCAAAATGAATCAAATAACAATCATATCCATAATATCTTCGAACAATGTAAAAGATTATTCAGAGACATCGATATTAAACGAAAAATAGAATAGAAGTCTCAACAAATCATCCACTAAAAGAATATCTACAGTAAATAAAAATAGTGCAAATAATGATCTACACATACAAAAAATTTTAAAAAAAAAAACTAAGTGTCGTCGTCCTCCTCAATCATAAGTCGCTTATCAAGCATACTTGATAGGCGTTGCAGCTGCTCAATCTTGGCCTTTAGCCTCTCGAACCTGACATCCCTAGCTTGCAACTTGCCCTCCATTGAGGACTTCAAGCTGGACTAAATCGCACATAGATTAATAGGGAAGCAAGACCTTAACTTCTTGGTGAATTGCGGTCATCAACCTATGATGACTGTTCACTAAAACTGGAATGTTGTTCCCCATGAATAAATCCCCATGTATAGAGGTCATAGAACCTCACTTTTTTCCTCCCCTTGACAACCTCTCTTCATATCTCAAATTTTGTGTGGTCAGATTGACCACTAGAGCTACCAACTCCCGCTAGGCTCGAACTTCAGGCATCCTTCAAACGAACATACTCATCCTGCAAAAGATTATAAACAATAATTAATATTGAAATAAAATTATAAATAAATTTTAAAAATTAAAAAAAAAACTATTCAACTTATGTCGACTCATTGATGGTCTGGCTGATGTTGATGTGTGTGGGGGTGCAACTCAACGGTGATGGCTCTCTTCGAAGTGTTTGCTTCTATTAAAATATAAAGAACTTAGAAAAAAAATTACAAAAAATAATGTAGCATTTAATAAATCTTATCATCCCATAATCTTACTCCTATACTCGATATGATGGACCGAGCCTCCGATGTATAAGGCTGTACCAATGACCACACAATTCAAGAATTGGTTGTGTTGTGATGTCTCTCTCTTCTTGAGGTTCTCAAGAGAGGAGCGGACTCTGGATAACTCGACTTAGACATTCTCACCTACCTAGATAGGCCTATATCCTTGGGGATGTCATTAAGATATCATGCCAGCGGGTTTGTACTCTAGTCTCGAAGTACTTCTAGATTTGTTGATGATGATAAGCATTGCACCAAAGTTGTTCTACCAAATAAATATTAAACAATTTTGTTATTATAAAACTTTAACTTCTGATTTTAACAATATTAGTTATTATAAAAAGCTAAAGGAGAACACAGCTACAGGATAGAAAGCAAATGCAAAACTTTGAATCTAGAATGTCATGATTTTCAGTTGACTAACAAACTCAAGTCATGAATTAATGATCAAATCCTAAAAATAAATAAAAAATTCACCAACTTAAATAACAGAAACCATCAATAGGTAGATCAACTATGAACCCTAAGTTAGATGACTTATAAACGAAACCAGGATCACAAATCCCCTATTATATTTCAGTATACTAGGCACCTCTAGTTAGTGTTGAGGACTAGAACCTGTAAAATAAATAGCTTTTACCCATTTAGATTATGTAGGTGTCCTAGGATGATATAGCCCACATTCACTGAAAAAGGCACCTCAAAACACCTAATAATAAGAAGGTCTGCACTTGTCATCACGATAATACTAAGTGGAAACTTCTGACTGTCTGGTTGGTCCATAGTTTAAGGATATCAATGAACCTAGGACGATGAAAAATCATGTGCATCTTGACTAGGGGTGGTATACCCAAAAATTAGGTTAGTCCACCTACTTAGCTTTCTTATAGAGCATATGTTTATTTTTGGGTTAGGATTTCACTTCCATCTAGAATCCTTCTAACCATTCTTGTCTCTTAGTCTAGAGTTTAACTTCAATCAAACTTTTATCTTAAATTAACTTTAATAAAAGCTTCATAATTTAAATCATATCTTTTCAACTTAAATTAACCTTCCCAAACTAAACATTTTTTTGAGTCAAATCAATCAACTCAACTCAAACCCAATTAGCTCAAATCAAACCTTTTCAACTCAATTCAATCAACTCAAACCAAACCAAATTATTTAAATCAAAACCTAATTTTTTCAACAATCTTATAGTTCCAATCCCTAGTGGATGCTTTCTTTCCATAATTTGTTAACACTTTTCTAAGACTTTTCCACGATAAATCGTTATTGAACAATAAGTCCCCATCAATGAATTCCAAGGATAAATTTTTTCAAATCCTAAATATATCCATTTGAAGCCCTGAAATATTAATCTTGAAGATACTAACATCATAAAAAATAAACATTTACCTACACCCGTAAATTTTAAAGTACGGGGGGTGATTTTTCATTGCGTAGATCCATAAATTTTAAAGATTTTTCTCATCTAAATGATTATATCTATTTTAAGGTAGCATTTCTATCTCTCAATGTGATATATTATTATTCAAATGATTTTTTAAATCATTTAAATGGAAATCACTCAAAATCTATGATGATCATGTCAACATCATATCGCATAAATAAAGTGACATAATTTTTTTCTTTAGGGTTTAGAGTCAACTGAATATTCTTT